CTTTTTCTCTCCGGCGTGTTTCCTCGGCGTTTCTTTTAGAGTCTCCTGCCTGAGACGAGCTCTCTGGCTTTAGTCGAAGGTGTGCAGGTGGTGGCTGTCTCTTCCGACTACAGTCCCTCTCAAACTTCGTTCGCGAGGTGTTGGAGTGGTGGCTAGATAGTAAAGAGGTTCTGTCAATTCCGGCGGTCCAGTATTGGATTTTGAGGACGAATTTGATCTCTGGCTTAAGGGGTTTTGGCAGCAGCTTTTGGCTTGTGACAAGCCTCAGAGTGGTGGCTCTCGTATCTCCGGCAGGTGCGGCTCCATCGACGGTGTCTCTCAGCGGTGGCTCAAGACGGGTGGCTCGGTGGTTGCCCTGCTGGTTTGTCTCAGCTTTTGGCTCCTCCGCCGTCTACGGCATCGGTGTGGCCTGAGATTTTCCGAAGGTGCGTGTGTCCGATTATATGCGATAGCTCTGCGTTTGTGTATAGTTCTTGGTTTGTGGTGGCTCTGGATGTGATCTGGTGTAGATGGTGGAGTATTACTGGACGTGATTGTTGAGGCGCCGGTTTGTTGTTGCGGCTAGTTTGTAGCTGTGGGAGTTGGTTCTCGAGGAAATTCATTTTTTTCGGGAATGGTAGTCCGAGGTGACTCTCCGATGGCCTTTGTGGGCTCCCTTGTCAACGGTTGCAGGTTAGTCCGTTACGGAATTTCCGGATTCCGTTAGTTCTCGGAGAAGCTGTAGGCGTTTCTCTTTTGAGGTTTGAGGGCTGGCCTCGGGAAGATGCTCGTGGCAACAAAGATGAGAACTCTAGTTCTTCGGAGCTGTGACAATTACGGGGTGGTCTGCGTTTTGGCGTGCGACTGCTGCTTTCCCGTCTGGTTTTGCTTCGGTTTTATTTTTAATTTCACAATCCATTTTCTTATACTTTCGTTGTTGTTTGCTGCATTTGTCGGATTTGTTAGTAGTTTTTTATTTTTGGTTTTTCTGATTTCTTTGTAATTTCTGTAATTTCTGTAAAAAATTCGAAAATTGGTAATATAATTTTAACATGTTTACCAAAAAAAAAAAAAATTGCTTCGTCGGTCTTCTTTCCTAATGTATATATATATATGTGATGCATGAAGTACAGTCTTATGAGAACTCTTTGTTTAACAAAGAATCAAATTTTCAATGAATAACGACTAGAACGAAATATATTAACTGTCTTCACTTATGCATGCATATTTATTTAATTTGTAGTCTTTACCAAGTTACAGTGTTTGTTCGGCATCACTTTAAGTTTTAGTGTTTCATGTCATAGCTCGAACCAAGAACGTACCTTGTCAAGTAACAGTTTGTAAATACTTTCCATCACTTAATATATACATGGAGAGAGAGAGAGAGAGAGAGAGAGAGAGAGAGAGAGAGAGAGAGAGAGAGAGAGAGAGAGAGAGAGAGAGAGAGAGAGACTTCCTTCTTTTGATACAGTAACGTAATTTCAACAGTTAAAGCTATTAAATCATCAATTCACCTCTGACTCAAACCCTCCTAAAACTCGACTCGGAAAGATCTTTCAAAATAAAAGATTGAACCGTGGATTCCCTTTCGACCTAGCTCATAATTTAGTCATCCCTTGTTTTATAACTAGTTCGCGGCAAAAAACTTTCTTTTTGTTAAATGTTAAACGTTAGCAAACTGTTGAATTAAACTTATAAAAAAAATTGTTAAATTAAGTAAATCATCTTAATTGTGTATTCTGACCATTTTATCAGATTATTGGTTCGTCTCCACGAAGACATATGTCATTTCAAGTCATAACTAAAAAGTCAATTTGTGGATGTGCCAATGGAAAAGTTTTTAGCTGGCGTACGTATTTGGAAGATCACCAACCCCGCTTAATAGTCATGTAGAGCTCTAATTTGATTCGCATGCAACAATGTCCAAAGTTTGATGTATACTTTAGAATATCTCTATTAGTGAAATTCTTTCAAGTTTCTCATCAATATAATACTATTACTTTAATATAGCTTACTTAAATTATTAAATTTAGAAACTATATTGTGATTCTCTCTTCCTTTCTTCTATTTTTTTTTTTTTTTTTAAACTTCTACTGGAAATGCTATTACCTATTAGCCTAGTATTATTTGTCCACAAGCAGGTGGATCGACGATGAGGAAGCATCATACCTCTTTCGACATATCACGAGTTTAGGAAGAACACATCATGTCCGAATAATAATATTTATCATTCATGTTTGCATTTTGTATATTTTTGAACTGCATCGATTAATAAGATTTTCTTTTAATTCCAAATAAATGCAAAATAAAGCCTTTATAGTTTATATAATTCTTGTCCATAAATCACGTCATTATCTTTCACATTTTCATTTCTCTTTTTTTTTTAGAGTTTAAAATTGTATTTTAAACGAAGCTGCTTTTAATTCTTGTTGTATTTCAAGTCAAAAACATTGTTTGTTTTTTTCTTTTCACCATATTAATCTTTCATTTAAAAAAAAAATGTTAAGTGATTTCACATAATTACCCGTTTGTTTATTTGTGTTATGAACTTCTTTTTAACTGATTTCACATGTTTATTCGTTTGTTAGTTTGTGTAATGAACATTTTTTCCTCTATGATGTTCATTATTTTTTTCACAATGGAGCGGTCGGAAAAGACAACAGTAGCCCTTCAAAGGATATTCATCTGTTAGTTTGCGTAATGAACATCTTTTATCAATGGAAAGACAAAAATATCCCTTCACTTTTTGACCGACAACATTATTTCAAATTTAGCCGCTTATTCGCCGACTAAAGACTTTCCGTACTATCAACTACACGTGTTGGGTAATTCTTTTGAGCGACGCACGTGTATACCACTCACATGCACGTGTGCAGCTAAACCGGTCATAGTTTACCGGTCAGAATCCAGTTCCAGTAGCATAAAATTGATTTAGATTAGATGGGCCGTCATGATCTACTTTCGCTAACTTTCGGCCCAAATCGTGTTGCTAAATCACCTCATCTTAATTCTCAAGAAACCAACGGTCAAATATTGATATTTTATATCGATATGTTTATATGGTGTTAAATGTTAAGATGTTTTCGATAATGTTGGCAATCTAATTTTTCTTCCAGAAAAATCTAGCTGCGAATTGTTGAAGACTTCTGCGCTCTCTGTAATATAAGTTCTTAATAAAAAACAAAGTTTTTATCATTTTTTGGGGTGAATTTAAAATTTTAATAGATAACGTTGGGATTTTCATCCTTTTGAGAATTTGGGTGCTTCTTTATTTTTGGGTAGATGATCACATATGGAAATATAATTGGTGCCTAGTTACAGGCTTGATTCGAGAGTTAGGGGTGTGTATTGAACTATAAACATTTGAAGTGATTTGACTTTTATTAAGATTTTAGATAATTTGATGATTTAAAGGAAGTTGTAATGATTTGGTTTAAATTCTCTGTAATTCCACAAATTCCTCTAAATCGCTTGAAATCATTAAAATCCCAATATTTAAAACATTTCTAATAATAATAGATTTTAAGAGACATTTACAAATCGTATATCCAATAACACTGTATTTTAGAAGATTTTTTTTAAAATCCATGTTTAATTTTATTCACTTCAAAATGCTCAGTTCAACCTTTACGGTTTAAAAAGTCACTAATGAAATTAAAATGAATTTGGCTTTAATTTTGTTTTTTATATTATTTGTATGTGGCCTCGTGAGATTTACATTGGATATACATTTAATATATGTTGGATTTTCCATGGACTCATATTCATTTTTAATGATTACAACTTTGGTTTGGTAACGAAAGTGACAAGGCGATGTTTCCACTGGTTGCTGATGTTATGAAGTTTTACTAAACTAGCTTAATTGAGTTTAAGTTGTTTAAACATCGAATATTTGATAGATCTTTGGAACGTTATAAAACTCTTTCATCTGCATGTGCCTGTAACATCAGAGGGTGCTTGCCTTGTGTCACGCCTTAGGGGAAAGATTAATTCCTAACATTTTATGATTTATGTCTTTAGTGTTTAGAATTAGTGTGTGTTTTATTCTTCAATTAGTAATTAATATTAAATTTTCAAGACCGCAATGGGAGTAGATACTACTTCCAAGGAACACATAAGGTCTCTGAGAACACAGAACAAATAGTCCTTCTGAGTTGTTTGGTTTTGGTACATTCACTCCTTTTCAACCAAAAGCTTCTATTTTCTTTTCTTTTCTTTTCATTTCTTTTTCTTTTTGAAACTCTTCTTCAATGCTATTTGGTCCTCTGTAACAACAACTCTTCATGGAAGGTATTTTATTTAATGTTTTGACATGACATAGCAATGGCAATATAAGATAAAGTGATATGTGTACGTATGTTATGTGTATATCTCTCCACACAGTTTTTGCTTTTCACCACAACTGAAAAAAAACAAGTACTTAATCCAACCCAATTGTTTGGTCTCTCTGGATATCCTTTCAAATCAAACCTCCCAAAAAAAATGGAAACATTAAATAATTTGAAGAAGCCAACAATGCTTAAGATAGAGTTTATGTTGATTCTCAAAACCATTAGTTGTCCAACCAACTATCTAGTTGTCTCTTCAATTCAAAGGACACTTTCCTCAAATCTGTACTAAGTAAATAACCAATAATGTATCTGATTTTTCAGACAAGGACAAACAGTATAATGGTAATGTTGCTGCTTATGAAAGATCCTGAAAAGAGAAAACAAAAAACGAGGTTCTAGTCTTTGGTTGTTATCTTTCTAAGACAATTGCACAAGGATTCAAGGTGAAATTATATCAGCATTCATGATTCAACCATGAAACAAGTAGAGAACGATCATAAGGAATCTTTAATTGTAAACAAAAGATATCTGTTTTTTCCGATAATGAAATACTTGAAAAGTACACCATTTGCAACGCCCATAAACATACGAGCGAGTAAAAACGCATAATGTTTCTGCCTTACCATAGCCGATAATATGTGAAACAAGGGAAACAGATTTTATGTTTCTAAATCGACAGATTTTTTTTTGCTTTTATCCGTTGTTGAAATTATTAGCGAGGACTAGTACTGAACACATCGAGAAACATTCTGTTTATTGAAGAGAGCCTCATCTGCTGTTCCTGCACTCTTCTCCTCTTGAACAAAGGTTCTGGTGAAGATGATGAAGACACTGAAGCAGAAGCAGAAGCAGACACAACCCAAGACTCATCGGAGCTGTCAGAGCTGAATGATGCATCGAATACACCGATTGGACTAGCGGGTTGCATCCAGTTCATCATCCTTTTCTTGCTTGGACTGTGATCTAGCACTAACTCATAGCATTTATTTACTTTCTCCTGTTTAAGTAAAAATGATAATGTAATCAGTTCTTGATCCTTTCCACTAATTACGTTCGCATTTACTGATCCATGATAATATTAATACTCTACCACATACCGAATCAACTTTGAGAAGAGTCATGAGCTGATATTCATACTCAGCTTCGTCACACGTCTTGAGATCTCTGATGACAGAAACCATTATTGCAGTAGCTAACACCGAAGGACTATAACTCAAAAACCTCGAATCTGATAAACCAAGAACGAGAAAATTAGCACCAAGGAATCCCAATAGATCCAGCGAAAACCATGTGATCTAACGGAAGCATTACCAGGAACAATGGAGAGCAACAGAGATTCACATCTACTCAAGAACTCCAATTGCTGGTGAGATTTAGAGCTGTGTCGTCGAGTAATGTGATCGAAAAAGGAGATTGGAGTCACAGGATGCATCCTCCATTGAAGAGTAGAGAGAATCAGAAGCTCCATTCTCTGTATGGTTTTAGCCTCAAAGACATATCTTGCCTCTTCCACCTTGAAAAACACAAAAGAGTCTCAAAATCTGGCATTTCAACGAACACTCAAGCGACATTACACAAATTGAATCTGGGAAAGTGACTTACTTGGAGATCTAAGAGCAATGGGACTCGGATCTCTTCAACTTTAGCAGCAAGAGACAGACAAGCCACAGCTGTAAGCTGAGACATCCATGGCTTATCGGTCTGAAACATCCGGCTTGTAATAAACCTATCGAAGTAGTTCACAGCAAGAAGAGCCGTCAACGAATTAAACCCATAATGAGATTTCACTCTAAAGATCCAATCGAGAGCCTTTTCACGACACAAAACCAGAAACTCATCATCTAAGATTCCGTCGCAAAGACGCGGCTTTAGCTCTTCCTCTTTCGAAATCAGACCCGATAACTCATCGTCATCCCAAAGCATATCATGATCGAGAAAACCCAGATGAAAAAACGGAAACTTTACAACGCTCTCGTCGGATTTCTCGCCTAATAAATCTACTTCTCCTTCCTCATCAAGCCCACTACTCTCTTCCTCACAGAAAAGCATACAATACGGTGCGTTTTGAATCTGTTCCTCTTCTTCTAAAGCCATCTTCCTCTTCGGAGAAGAAGAGATTGTGAAATTCCTTTGTTCATTCTGCCATTAGAGCCCTCCCCAATGTCTCTCTCTGGATTCTACTGTGAAGAGGAAAGGAGTGAAGACAAATGCCAAGAAAGTGAAGGGTTTTATCTCACGCTTGTCCTCTTTTTTTATTTTTATTTTTCTTTCAAGATTTTGTTATTGGTTTTAATTATTTTTTTCTCTCTCTATTTTTTTTCTGTCTTTTATTATTCGGATGTTTGGCGCGCGAGAAAATTGATGAAACCGTACTTCTTCTTTGTTTTATTCTCAGAAATGGAAAAATGTATTAATTTCATCAAAATACTGTATAAATTGAATTAAATAAAGATAAATTAATTAGAAATGGTTGGGATTTAATTTAAAGAGGGAGTACTTAGCTAGCGATACGTATTATTACGAAAACATTTATTCACGCGCCCATCGTTTGTGTAATACACGCTCTTAATCCCTGTACGTCCGATGCGACTTCCAGTTGCTCTCATTAGGAGCGTGAGATTTACGCGATCTTGAGGTGTTATTGGAGTTTTCAGTGGTGGATAAGTCGTTGACCATTGATTAGTTTTGTCACCTTTCGGTTTTGAGCATCGATGATTACAACAAGTAAAGATTAATGTTTGTTTTTTCATTAACACTTTGGTATATACACCAGTAAAATATACTATTTGAATTATTTCACCTCTATGCATCCTTAAGATTTATGAAAACTTTGAAAATTAGTAATGTGCTTAAAGAAAATGCAAGATTTTGGATAATTATTAGGCATCCATAAAGTAAAAATCTTTGAAACATTATATACCAAAATTTAAAAGTATATGTTTTTTTTTTCCTGTCAATTTAATATGATATACGGAAAGGATGATTCAAATTGATATAATAATCATATAAAATCACTCGTGGGGTCACATATGTCAGGAAAAATCGACGTGGACGAATGAGAAGTTTTATCTGGTCAACGAGCTGACATAAACATTTGAAAAAGCAAAAACATAATATTTAAATAAATAATAAAAAAATACCTCGTTCTGTTAAAACGCTCGCGCTTTTAAATTATTATTATTGTTATAAAACTAGTTTATTAATTTCTTTACGTATCCTATAAAGGTCTTTTCTAAATATAATAGCTTGATCTTAGTGAACATTTCAATTTTAATTCTCTCTGCTTTATATGCTAATACAAAGACAGAGGTCCAGAAAGCCGATTAAAACGTAAATGTATTCGTTGTACTATCTAAAAAGTTGTACCAAACTTTAAAGTTTAAAGTTGAAGATACATAAATGGAACTCATATAAAAAATCTATTATATAATTGAGTCTATATACTTACAATAATTATGGAACAAACAGTTATTAGTTAGTACAACAAAAAAGGATTTATATACATTACATGGAACTCCTACAATTATGATTTTATTATAATAACAAAAGCACTACATACGCAAAACAAAAAATTCAGTTTTCGTAAGCTTAAAATCATAGTGAATGTCATGAGACTGCTGTAACGTTTACTGCGTTCCTACCGCTCCTAGACGCTGTTAATAAAGCAACGGTTTTTACTTTTAAGTTTTAACACATATATTGATGATCTTTATCGATAGTGAAAGAAAGCAATGTGTGGTAAAAGAATTAAAAATGAAAAAGCAAAAGACAAATAAATAAGGGAATGGGGAAAAGTAAATCACGAGAGAGGAAGCGAAGCCATTGGTAACAAGCGGTGTCTGAGATTTGTACAAAGTTTAATAGTGACTTCTCACTACCACAATTTCATATCTCGCTTTTAGAAAAAACAAAAAAAAAAAAAATCCTTTTTATTTCTTGTAAATGCATTCTGTTCGTCGTCTTTATAAGAGCCATTCCATCTGTTTTTATTATGGTTTTGATTGATAAATCTTTAGAATTTTGGTTGAAAGTCTCAATGACATAAAAGAAAGAACACTTCAAATTTCGAACAAGTTATGTTATAAAACAAAAGGAGTATAAAATTGAAAAGAAGAAAGAAAAAAAACAGGTTGTAATTTAGAGGAGACAAGATTATAATAATAATGGTCCAAGCAATCGGACGATAACCTTTTATTTAATGGTCAACAAGCTGGATGACAAGTGAGAGGAGTCTTTTGATTTACCATTTTTATGATAGCAATGGAATAAAATAAAATATAAAAACAAAACAAGTTGATTAGATTAAGAGGATGTGTGTGTAAGTGTTGTGTTGTGTTGATTAGATCGAAGAAGGTTTTTGGGTCATAATTAATAATGGCGTCTTGTCTGCCAGAAACTAACGCCGTACGCTAACTTTCGATCTCCCTCTTCCTACCCTAACCCCCTTTTATTTAGTAGTTATTTAATTGAAAATAAGTGTACACATTATATAATTAAACTTATTTGATTCTTAGGTGTCACCCATTTACTGTTAAATGTATTGCCTAGCTTTGCTCCTATTCCTTATAGTGTTTTGTGCATTTCTGTTTCTTTATACTTAAGAGGTTCCATGCTTTCGGTCCAGTTTCTGTTTCGGTCAAATAACATAACATGTTCTTGTTCATACAGTCTGAGTCTCGCTTCCATGTTCATACTCGTATGCATAACTTAAAAGTCTATAAAACACACACTGGCTTTTATCTTCTAAATGCACTCATTTTTATGCTCTTTTTTTTATTCGATTGCGTATCATTTTGATATTTTTTCTGTCTTCTATTCATAATTTTGTGGTTTAGATTTGATTAATGATTCGTAAAATGGTGAAAATGTGTTACTTTTCTGGAGTAAATAATAATCACACACATATCGTGAAGTTGTGTGAGTATATTGTTTGCAATTGAGTTTAAAATTTGTTACCAAACTAAGTAAAGGCAGCTTATGTATAAAGAAATGACATTAGAAAAGGTGACGTTTTGCGATATAGAAATAATTGGAATTTCGTTGTTTAATTTTTATCCAAAGAAACCATACAATTTCAAAAATTTACTGTTCCATTGTACTGCTATTTCGTGAATATGAACTAAGCATTTAAGATATTATTTTTTGCTAAAATCATTAATTATAAGATGTTAGATTGTTGGGTAACATAATAATATTCTTCTTTTTTTTTTGCTCCAATCCACATAAATTTGGTAGTAGGAAAATATCCATATTTTCATGATTTTCCATCATTATTGGTACGTTCTCATTATTACGTAATTTAACATCATTACCACCAACCTAATTACTAGTACCGGTTCATAATTATAGATATAGCATTAAGATAAATATACAAATTGACTACGTATGTCAGAATTCTTTTGAAATCTCATCTTATTGTGGAGTCAAACCTGAAAAGTTAGCCGTTTATAGACCTCGTCACTGTTCTTGCTATAATTGTTTTTTCGGTTGGAAAAAAAGCGACAACCAAAAGAATATATAAATAGAAGTATTATTTTTTGTAATCTATTAAACTTTTTTTTTTGGGGGGGGGGGGGGGTGAAACTATTGTAGTTCTATGATCATTTCAAAAATATGATAATAAAAGAATACAATTTTGTTTTTGTAAAAATGAAACATGTGATTTCGTTACTTTGCTACAAATTGATCATTTTATTCTCTTTTACAAAAAAGAAAAGAAAACTAAATGGTAAAAAGTAAAAAAAAAAAAAAAAACAGGCTGGTGATGGGGCCATGTCTTTATATCTAAATTTATTTTCTATACGAAATTATTATTATATAATAAAAAACCAATCAAACTGTTATTCCACGACATAGGCACAGCTGAAGCATGGGTGAATTTCTAAAGCGACGAAAAATAAAATTTAAATTTAAATAATAGTTACATACAGCTGCCATCCGTTTTCTGTAAATAGTAGTAACATTTTACAATGAACAGAAAATAGAGAAACAAATATAATTTATTTTTCTCCCAATATATTTTTGGTCAATGTTCATACATGGATATGAATGTTCCTCTCTGAATTATATCGAAGGAATCGTCCAAAAGAGTTTTTTGGAGTAAAAAATTCTGGAATGAGTATATTTTTTTTGTGGAATGTGTATATCTCTAATTTCATTGGTTATAAGCCTAATTATATATTCACCGTTTATTTTTTTTTATCTTTTCATATTTTTTTATTGCATACCTATGTATAACTTCCTAGAAATAAAATAATTTTTTTTAACATTAGAAAATGTCTTTTGAACATAGATATTATTACATGTTAGAAAAAAAGAGATTCATATTGAAGTATCAACACTTGATTAGAAATTTGATTTGATCTCCACTAGAATTGTAGATCTCTCTCTTTTCCTTGGAGATTTGTATACCACTATTTTGTCGTCGAAGTCTATACTATATGGGAGATCTCGCCAATTTTTATAATTCAATCAAAAATCAAATTACTATATTAATACCAACCTCATGCTTCTTAATATTTATTTCACTTTCGATGGCTCAAGAATCCAAGCAAGATGTGGAGAGAGTGATTAAACCTAGTCTAGTGTGTTCCAGCAAAACCCACCCACTTCCCAAAAGTTTTCACATATGTTCTTGCCACAAATACTACATTTGTTATATTTTCTTCTCCATTTTACGAAATTCTATTTAAATTTTTATCCCATGGTAAATAGTGTTTGGATTTTTTCATCTTTTGCTCTTCGAGTTTTCCTTAATGTAGTATTTGCATCCCAAACCGAAACAATTGGAACTTGAGGATAGAAGAAGCAAATAAACGATGGTTTTGTGTCAATTGTCAAACTTGAATACGACAATAGCCCTTTTAGAACATATTAGTGAATATTTAGGCCCATTAAAATAAAGGCTTAAAATGTTTTTGTACGAGGTGCAAGATAAAGCCCATTGGGCTAAAGGTGTGAGTGAAGAGAGAGAGAGAGAGAGAGTTGGTGACTAAAAGAAAACTCGGAAAAGAAAATGTTAAGAAGGAAAATGTGATGAGTCGCGACTCGTGACTCGTGTGACTCAACTGCACCTTATCCCTTTACTCTCAATCGGTGGCGCGTGCACCACACAAAATGGGTCAGGCTCCGTCTTCTCCGGCGGAATCGAGTGGACGGGATACTGCTTTGTGGCTCTGGTCTCCGGAGTTTTTCGATTGTGAATCGATTGGTTTCGAGGATGTTGTTGCAGGCGGACATCACGATTTCACGGGAGATCTACCAGACGATTGCCTCGCTCATGTATTTCAGTTTCTCGGCGCCGGAGATCGGAAACGGTGTTCTCTCGTATGCAAACGGTGGTTATTAATCGACGGTCAAAATCGTCACCGGTTATCTCTTGACGCCAAGGCGGAGATTCTCCCCTTTTTGCCTTCCATGTTTAACCGGTTCGATTCCGTGATGAAGCTCGCTCTTCGATGTGATCGGAAATCGTTTAGCCTTAGCGATGAAGCGTTGGTCATGGTCTCGATTCGTTGCCCGAATCTTACTCGGGTCAAACTTCGTGGCTGTCGCGAGATCACGGACCTAGGCATGGAAGATTTCGCTCGAAACTGTAAGAAGTTGAGGAAGCTCTCGTGTGGCTCTTGCAATTTCGGTGCGAGAGGCTTGAACGCGATGCTCGAGCATTGTAAGCTTCTGGAGGAGTTATCGGTGAAGCGGATTAGGGGAATTCACGAATCGGCCGAGCCAATTCAGCTTCGTTCGTCTTCTTCACTCAGGTCGATTTGCTTGAAGGAGCTCGTTAACGGTCAGGTATTCGAATCTTTGGTTGCAACAAGAACTTTGAAAAAGCTGAGAATCATTCATTGTTTGGGTAATTGGGATAACGTTCTTCAAATGAACGGAGATGGGAATAGTTCCTTAACTGAAATTCACTTGGAGAGGCTTCAAGTGAGCGATTCTGGACTCTCTGCGATATCTAAGTGCCGAAATTTAGAGACTTTGCATATTGTGAAAACCCCTGAATGCTCGGATTTAGGTCTGATTAGTGTTGTGGAGAGATGCAAGCTGCTAAGAAAGCTTCACGTTGATGGTTGGAGAACTAAGAGAATCGGTGACGAGGGTCTGATTGCTGTAGCTAAACACTGCTTGAATTTGCAAGAACTTGTGCTTATCGGTGTTAATGCGACCCACAAGAGCTTGTCCGCTATTGCTACAAACTGTGGGAAACTCGAGCGGTTAGCTCTTTGTGGGAGTGGCACGATTGGGGATGTGGAGATGGCTTGCATTGCGGAGAAATGTGTGGCGTTGAGGAAATTCTGTATCAAGGGATGTGCGATTTCGGATGTCGGGATCAAGGCTCTTGCTTTAGGTTGTCCTAATCTGGTGAAACTGAAGGTGAAGAAGTGTAGAGTGGTTACAGGTGATGTCAGGGAATGGCTGCGTGAACGAAGGAGGACACTGGTGGTGAGTATGGATGGTGATGAAACAAAAGGTCCGGTCTTGGTCAATGAGGATGATCAGAGAGGTCTTGAGATGGTGGTAGAGGAGCCTCCGGTGGCTGATGGTGGTGGGGATGCGGAGGTTGCAGGTGGTGCTGGTAAGTTAGCTATGTTTAAGACAAAGTTAGGTTTACTTGTAAGTAAGAGCTTTGTGGCTTCAACATTCAGGAGATGGTCTCAAAGTGAAGCTACTAGTTCTAGTTCTAGTTGATTACATGTTTTTATGAAGGGTTTTGCATATCAACCAAAAAAAAACCGCTTCTGTATTGTTCTTGTTTCTTTGTTAGTTACAATTCGTTTCCAAATATTCATGCCTTAAAGGTTATTATTGCAGCTCTCATAGTAAGCTCATGTCTAGAGTCTTCATGGAACCTTGTAATTTGATAACCCTGAAATGCCGTCAAGCTTCCGTGTGGATTCCATTTTCATCTAAATTAGCTTTTTCAACTACAGTAGACAAAACATGCAATGGCTTCACTCCTGTTTGTGACAAACCAAGATAGCGCAAGGAGAGCAACTTTCATATCTGCTTCGGCAGCTCTCAGAATTTTGGATTCCCTAATAGATCCAGTATAACGGCGAACCAACAGTACGAATTAGTCTTTAGTCAACAGTCTTGTAATTGATTAAGCTTCCAAATAGATAAATTTTGATTCGCCGTTACTATAACAATTCATTCCTATTTAATTTTATAGTAGTAAATGATTATTTTTAGTCAAACAACCATTTAATTGATTGAAGTTTCCTAATCCTATCTATCGGCTATATATAACCCAAACGGTAGAAATATCATCATTTTGCTTTGAGTATTATAGAACACACAACAAAAAAGAAAATAGTAAAAAAAAAAAAATGAATGGTGATTGTACTGCTGTTCGTTTTCCGTGTGAATACTGTGACTGCTCTGGCATTTCATGCCAATCTCGATTTCCAGGTTTTTTTGTTGTTAAATATATGTTGTTTTTTGTTTTTTGGGGCCGACACATATGGTAGAGTTTGAGTTTTGACATGCATGATAATATCGTTGATATAAAAGATTTAGTCTAAATCATCAATTTGTTTAATGACTTTGGGTTGTACCAAGTCTGAAACCAAGTAGTTTTATTTTTTGTCCCATAGGCCTCCACAGTGATTCTTATAATACTGATACCATTTTATGTTTTTAACGGTAAATGTCATTTATTGATAACTAAGCAAAAAACCGGATTTAAACCAAGAGGGAGCCAATCCAAAACTGAGTTATAAACGTGTGTGTCCATAAAGGAGCCATTTGATGTATGTATATATTACAAGATTGATATTGGGATGATCGTGTGTAGGTTCGAAGGTGGTGTGGCCAGAACTAAAAGGAGTAAGTGCGCCTGAAGCAAAGAGAATGATTGAAAGTGACAATCCACATGTTAGTGGTGTTATAATCCCTGAAGATGTTCGTGTCGTAGAAGTCTATTGTTGTAACCGTGTCGTTCTCCGTGTTCCTGTCGGGAATTGTCCCAACGGTCCTGTCGTTAACATTCCTCTAATTGGATGATGAACCCTATCTTATGCATGTTGTTGCTCTTCAATCCTCATAATTATGTTTGATGTTTTGGCTTCAACTTCCTATAAGTTGTTTTGTTTTCTCGAATAAAAGATATGTAGTCTGGTCATATCGTTTTGTTTTTGATTATACACAGTGGTGGAGGTAGAATTATTAATTTATTATTCACCAGAGTCAATATTGTTAAATATATGTGTTAATTCACCTGTTTAATCCCTTTTTTGATAGCTTTACGTTTAATCTCTTAAAGAGTATGAAACATTTAATCCCTTTTTTCATGAGACGGTTCCTTACTCTTTCAAGCAATGTTTCTTGACTAATAATTGTGGGTTGAACATGCATATTTTCAACTTTTAGTTACATGAACAACTTCCTCGTTCACCACATCAAATTTTCCTTGAGAACACACACTCTCAACATCCGGATAGCTCTTTTGCCATAACGGTAGCTTATCTTAACATTTTTGGAGCATCATCCACACACTTAAATCCTAAAAATTCCGAACATTGGAGGGAATTAAGATACGACAGAGAAAGAAATAACAGAGTTTCACTAAACTACTAAAGCTCTTCATATTATCCTGATTCATCAGAATACGTATCAGCTTCGAAGACGAGTTGACATGAAATTGAAGCCTTGACCTCACTAGCCAACTCGTTGAGCATCTCACGTCTCTTTTCCAACTCCTCGAGCTCTTTAGATTCAATTTCTAATGTGGAGATTGTTGCTTTCTTCAAGCGTCTTGCGTTCTTTAGGATATATGCGGCCACTTCTTTCGCATCTTCTCGTTGCCATTCGTATTTTGTCCACACGAATGTCTCAAGATGGAACAACAAACATTCTGGTACACATTTCGGTTGATTCGATTTCCAGTCCACCAAACAATCTTTATCAATAGAATACCTTAACTGAGATCAGTCCAATGAAGGTAATCATTAAGATCATCAAAACTCCTCAGAGTAGAGCACTAGAAAAAGACTAATAAAAAAAGGTATTTGAGTAATGAAATGACTTACGCCGATGAGCTTGAGGATTTGTAATTGAGGAGAACCATCAAGCATCAGCGTAAGTAGATTCCACCACTCGCTTTTATTTGTACTCAGCTCCAAAGATAGAAGGTGACAGAAGATATTACCAGTAGGATACTTAACCTGTGCACGAGGCAGCATTAGTACACAAAACAGTGTTAGCCTTATATGCAGAGAAAAAGCTTAAATTTACCTCTAAGGGTGATATGCATAAGGAGAGGCGTTTGGCTGAAATTAGAGAAACCAAAATGTTCTCATTCTCTATACCAGAAACGGTACTGATTTCAGCCTCCACCAGCTCTGGCGCATTCTCAATCAGACAGAACTTAATCCAATCTAACCCTTTGATGTTCAAGTATTTCAAAGAAGGAGCATTTATCACATACCCTCCCTCCCCCTGTCCTTGGAATTCATCTACTATGGTTAGTCTCTGTAACGATGGCACCGCAAAAGTGTAAGTCTCCATAGCCATACCAAAACTTTGTCTCACAACCAAATCTTGAAGACTAGGGCAGCCACATGAACGGTTGAAAACAGATTCATCGTCTTTGAACTCCACATAGTAAAGGTGCAGCTCTCTAAGAGATTTGAAACAAACCCAAGAAGGAAGGTCTAGAATTGACCACTCGAGTTTCAAGACCTCGAGTGTATTGCTGCAGCTACACAAAACACTCGGAAATTTGACTAACCCTCCTCCTTCATCACACGATTCATACCAAAGATCCAGTACCAATTCACGCACATGGCGTGAAAATGCAATCCCAACCCATATTCCAACATCCAAAGCTTCAGATTTGTCTCTAACTATCAAACTAAGACTCTCTAGAACCGGAGCTTTATGTGAAAGCAAAGACCTACAAACAATCTCTGAAACTGTATAGTGCTCACTTTTGTGATCTTCAAAATCAAATTCGAGCTTTGGCACCATCTTCCAAAGAGATCTCCAACGTTTAGACAAAACACTCGTGGCTATGACAGTTTCTGTAGGAAGTGAAGATAATATCTCCAGAAGCAAAGCTTCAGGTAATTCGCTGATTCTGTCTTCATTTACAGAATTCCGATTTCTCAAGCTTTCACCACCGATTTTGCTGTCGACAAATCAAATAACAAAAGATGAGAATTTTAGGGTTCGAAGAATTAGGGATGGATCTTACAGCTAAGAAAACCATAAACGAAACAAAGAAACATACCACTGTCTATCAGAATATGTTAGTCGGTTTAATTGGTTTTGTTTAATTGATGTTGGTTAGTATGTTAACCAGCTCAAACCAGGTTCCTATATAAAGGAATCTTGTAATCATTTTCGCAATCAATCAGAGAATGAATTTTCAAGCTCAAGTCCTGTAACAAACTTTCTTCTATTATGGTATCAGAGAGCAGTGAGATTACAAATCTCACTCGATTCTTCTTCGTTTTTCCTTCATCGATCTTCGATTTCTCGGTTATTCCGCCGATTATTTTTCTTCTCCGATCTGATTTTCGATTATTCCGCCGATTATCTTGAATTTTGGCTATTCCGCCATTAAAGAAGCTTCATAAGATGGTGATTCGCAAAGGAGCTCGCCACACGGTTCGCGCAACTTCATCAGCTCGTAGAGCCGTCGCACGCGAAGATTCATCTCCAGAAGCTCAAACCTCACCAGAAGCTCAAATTCCTCCATTAGAGTCGTTGGATAGCATTCATTCACCGTACTATCTCACGAACGGTGACAATCCTGGACTCTCTATTATTTCTGAAGTATTAGATGGCTCGAACTATGACGATTGAAAAATAGCGATGACTATAGCTCTAGATGCGAAGAATAAACTAGCATTTATAGATGGATCAGTCTCGCGTCCACCTGAATCGAGTCATTTGTTCAGAATTTGGTCTCGTTGCAATTCCATGGTCAAATCTTGGTTGTTGAATTTGGTTTCGAAACAGATCTATAAGAGTATACTTCGCTTCAATGATGCATCTGAGATCTGGAGTGATTTGCTAGCTCGTTTTCACATCACCAACATACCAAGGTCATATCAATTGTCCCAACAAATATGATCTCTGCAACAAGACTCAATGGATCTTTCTACATATTATACAACCTTGAGAACTCTTTGGAATGAGTTAGATGGTGCAGATTGTGTTAAAATATGCCACAACTGCAATTGTTGTCAGGCGATGGATAAGAGAACTGATCATTCTCGTGTGATCAAGTTCCTTGCTGGCCTAAATGATTCCTACTCTGTTGTTCGGAGTTAAATTATCATGAAGAAACATGTGCCTACGTTGTCAGAAGTCTACAATCTTCTTGATCAGGATCATAGTCAAAGAAACCTTATGCCTGTTCAGAATGCCTCTGCTTTTCAAGTGTCTGCATCTCCTACGGTTCAGCCTTCAGTAAATGCAACACAGGGCTCGGCTAAGAATCAGTTACGACCAATGTGCTCTCATTGTGGATACACAGGACACACTGTGGACAAGTGTTACCGTATTCATGGATATCCTCCAGGGTTTAAACACAAAAACAAGAATGATAAGTCAGATAAGTCATCTTCTCAAGCTTCAACCAAGCCAATGGTTGCTCAAATGGCGATTACTGATCAGTCATCCTCAGACACTATAACAGAAATGACGAAGACTTTGACTAAGGATCAGATACAAGGAGTGATTGCTTATTTCAACTCTCAACTCCAGACTCCTCAACCTAACTCTGAAGCTTCTACGTCCGGAGGCACCATCACTGCATTACCGGGTATGGCTTTCTCTTCATCTACAATTTGTTTTGTTGGCATTTTGAAAGCTACCCGTAATGTTCTGTCATCTCAGTCCTGGATAATTGACAGTGGTGCCACCCACCATGTTGCTCATGATAAAAGTCTCTTCATGTCTATGTCTGATTCTTTGACTTCTTCAGTTACTCTTCCCACTGGTTTAGGAGTTAAAATCATTGGGGTAGGAAGAATTCAGTTAACTGATCGAATCATTCTGAACAATGTGCTCTATATACCTGATTTCCGATTGAACCTCATAAGTGTCAGTCAGTTAACAAAGGATTTGGGTTACAGAGTCACATTTGATGAAGATTCGTGCATGATACAGGATCATTCCAGGGGCTTGATGATTGGTCGAGGTGAGCAGATATCGAACCTCTACATCCTGGATATACCTTCTATCGATGCAAACATTACTTCTAGCTGTCATTTCTCTACGAATGTTGTTCTTGATTCCACATTGTGGCATAATAGACTAGGACACCCTGCTTTGTCTAAGTCTGATTCCCTTACTCATGTACTCGGGATTAAAGAAAGGAATAAAACTGATTTGCATTGCTCCGTTTGTCCCCTTGCAAAGCAAAAACATCTTTCTTTTCCTTCCAACAACGACATTCGCAAAACAGCTTTTGAACTGATACATATTGATATCTGGGGACCTTTTTCAGTTCCTACTGCAGAAGGATATCGATATTTTCTGACTATTGTAGATGACCATTCTCGGGTCACATGGGTCTATTTGCTGAGAACAAAGTCTGAAGTTCTCACAGTATTTCCCGAGTTCCTGAAGCTAGTTGAAAATCAGTATGGAACCACAGTTAAAGGAGTTCGTTCGGATAATGCTCAAGAGTTAAAGTTTGATCATCTGTACAAGGCAAAAGGGATTGTATCTTATCACTCTTGTCCAAAGACTCCAGAGCAAAACCCGGTGGTTGAGAGAAAACACCAGCATATTCTAAATGTGGCCAGGGCTTTAATGTTTCAAGCAAAGGTCCCATTAGAGTTATGGGGAGATTGTATTCTTACTGCTGTCTTCCTGATCAACAGATTACCAACTCCAGTATTAAAAGACAAGTCTCCTTTTGAAGTCCTCACTTCTTCTAAACCTGATTACTCTGGCCTTCGTGTCTTTGGATGTTTGGCATACAGCTCTACATCAACAAAGAATAGACACAAATTTCAGCCACGAGCAAGACCATGTGTGCTTCTTGGATATCCTTCCGGATATAAAGGCTATAAGCTTCTGGATATTGAGACAAAGACCATTCATATTTCAAGAAATGTTGTCTTTCACGAGGACATTTTTCCATTTGACGAAGGTAAATCTGACAGTGCTGATGATATTTTTGAAACGCCTGCAGAAATACCCTCTGTCTCACCAGTTGCTGATGGTCATCCTATATCTTCAACCAAATGAACACATAAAGCTCCGACCTATCTGAATGATTACTACTGCAACTTGATGTCTGCTGGAGTCAAATATCCTCTATCAGACTTCATGAGCTATGATCATCTTTCTGAACCTTATCGAGCATACATATGTTCTGTTACTAAATATCCAGAACCAAACTCTTATACTCAAGCTAAGAAGTCTTCAGATTGGCTCGCAGCTATGAATGAGGAACTAAGAGCTCTTGAAGGAACAGCTACGTGGGAAGTTGTTTCTCTACCACAAGGTAAACATTCCATTGGTTGTAAATGGGTTTACAAAGTAAAACTAAACTCTGATGGCAGTTTAGAACGCTACAAAGCGCGTTTGGTCGCAAAAGGTTACACACAACGAGAAGGGGTTGATTTTGTGGATACTTTTTCACCAGTAGCTAAAATGACGACAGTAAAGACATTGTTAGCAGTTTCTGCAGCGAAGAAATGGAGTCTGCATCAACTAGACATCTTTAATGCATTTTTAAACGGTGATCTGGATGAGGAGATATACATGAATCTACCTCCAGGATACACACCGAAAGCAGGTGAATCTTTACCACCAAATGCTGTCTGTCGTCTGAAGAAATCACTCTATGGCTTAAAACAAGCCTCAAGACAATGGTTTCTAAAATTCAGCACTACTTTGATGAGTTTGGGATTTCAGAAATCTCATACAGATAATACATTGTTTGTACGAAACATAAATGGAAAGTACATGGCAGTGTTGGTGTATGTAGATGATATCATTCTCACAAGTAATGATGATGCAGAAGTGGAACAACTGAAGATTGATTTGCAGAAGGCTTTCAAGCTTCGAGATCTTGGACCACTACAATACTTCCTTGGTCTTGAAATTGCTAGATCAAGCTCAGGCATTACTGTTTGCCAACGTAAATACGCCTTGGAGTTATTGGAAGAAGCTGGTCTTTTAGCTTGTAAACCTTCTAATATCCCTATGGATCCTACTGAAAAGCTGAGACAGGACAGCCAAGAACCAGTACTTGATGATCCAGAGGTTTATCGAAGGATGATTGGGAAGTTAATGTACTTAACAATCACTCGTCCGGATATTACCTATGCGGTGAATAAACTTTGTCAGTTTTCCTCTGCACCAAAGCCATCTCACCTAAAAGCAGGCTACAAAGTACTTCGATACATTAAGGGTACTATTGGTCATGGTTTATTCTATTCCGCAGATTCTGATCTAGTCTTAAAAGGCTTTGCAGATGCTGATTGGGCATCTTGCCCGGATTCTAGACGGTCTACATCTGGATACTGTATATTTCTTGGACCATCATTGATTTCCTGGAAATCCAAGAAACAACAGATCGTTTCTCAATCTTCTGCTGAATCCGAATACAGGGCTATGTCCTTTGCGACAAAAGAAATAGTCTGGCTTGTTAATCTTCTTCAGGAGTTACAGGTTCCTCAAACAAAAGCTGTTGCTTTCTACTGTGACTCCATTGCAGCGATTAGCATAGCCAACAATCCTGTCTTCCATGAGAGGACCAAACATGTTGAGCTGGATTGCCATTCTATCAGAGACAGAATCACTGAAGGCTTGATCAAGACGATGCACGTCAAGTCTAAATATCAGCTCGCTGATGTGTTCACAAAACCACTATTTCCAGGACAGTTCAATGCTCTTATTAGCAAGATGGCTTTACATTCCATATACTTGCCATCTTGAGGGAGGGTATCAGAATATGTTAGTCGGTTTAATTGGTTTTGTTTAATTGATGTTGGTTAGTATGTTAACCAGCTCAAACCAGGTTCCTATATAAAGGAATCTTGTAATAATTTTCGCAATCAATCAATCAGAGAATGAATCTTTTCTTCAAGCTCAAGTTCTGTAACAAACTTTCTTGTCGATCCATTTTCGCTAATAGAGACAAAAAAGAAAAATCTGCGAACGCTCCAAACGCAAACACAAACACAGCCCCAACACACGAATTCGGCTAAAGCTTAGATATGATAATGGCGGCGATTCAGCTTCAAAACGATTCACTTGTGTTGATTAGAAAAAAGGATCAGCGAGTCACAAAACCCTAACAGAGTAGTAAGAAACAGTGACACAACGCATAGGATCTGGAAAAGAAAGAAGACGACGAATGAAGAGAAGACGACGAATGAAGAGAAGACGTCGACAAGTGTGAGAAAATCAGACCGATCGGTTTTCGTTGGTTTCAAATCGAACCGAATCCAACATCCTCGACATCTCTGTAACCGGGTCGACACTTCAGTGGAAAAAACTGGTTTATTTTATTTTTTTTGTCAATAATTGCAACTTTATTAAACCCTAAACTATACATATATCCCATATAGTAATTAGTAAGACAGGAGTTAAGTAGTCAATAATTCTTCCGAAATGTGTACGAATGAATCGGTTTTTATAAAAGTTGTAAGTTCAGCGCAAGGCTGCCATAAATTTAACTTAATTTTCGTTTGGCGAATTTTAATCATACTATCCATTATATGTATGTATAAAAGATTTTGACTAGTTTTGATCTATTTTAGTTTTTAATTTAAAAACAAAAGCAAATGTAAACTCATTTCAGTTTCAACCACGTTAGGTGGTAGCCACTGGCTTTTAACCATTCACCAAGCGGTCAAAAGAGTTGTGGAACAGAAACTTCAAACTTGTTTGGGCGATCCCAAACCGGACAACAATTTTGGTTTGCCTTTCGGACCAGTTGCAGTTGTCTTGTGGTGTGTATCACAAATTACTAAACTTTGTTTATCGCAACCTAATAAGATTACTTCAACCTAATACTAATCAACCTAATAAGATCACTTCAACCTAATAAGATTACATTGTTCTTCATTTCTTTTAAAAAGCCGTTAGTATCTGAAAAAATGAAGTGAAACTCTATTCTTTCTCTGTCGTGCCCAATGTAACAGAAAACGTATGTGGTACTACCACTCTACGAGGACCGGAGTGTCTATAAGAAAACGTATCAGCTTCGAACACGAGTTGACATGAAACTGAAGCTTTGACCTCACTAGCCAACTCGTTGAGCATCTCACGTCTCTTTTCCAACTTCTCGAGCTGTTTAGATTCAATTGGTTTTGTGGAGATTGTTGCTTTCTTCAACCGCCTTGCGTTCTTTAGGATGTATGCGGCCACCTCTTTCTCCTCTTCTCGTTGCCATTCGTATTTTGTCCACACGAATGTCTCAAGATGGAGCAACAAACATTCCGGTACACGTTTCGGCTGATTCCATTTCCAGTCCACCAAACAATCTTTATCTCTATACGGCCATGACTGAGATCAATACAATTAAAGTCACTTCTAAGATCATCCAAATACCTCAAAGTGGAGCACTAGAAAAAGAATAAAAAAGGTATATGACTAATGAAATGGCTAACATCGATGAGCTTGAGGTTTTGTAATTGAGGAGAACCATCGAGCATGAGCGAAAGTAGATTCCACCACTCGCTTTCATTTGTAGTCAGCTCCAAATATAGAAGCCGATAGAAAATAATACCAGTAGGATACTTAATCTGTTCATGTGATAACATTATTACACAAAACAGTGTTAGCCTTTTATGCAGAGAAAACCACCACGAGAATCTCAAAAATCTTAAATTTACCTCTAAAGGTGATATGCGTAAGGAGAGGCGTTTGGCTGAAGTCAGAGATTCGAGAATCTTCTCATAGGTTATTTCAGAAACGTAAATGATTTTGGCCTCCACCAGCTCTGGCGCATTCTCAACCAGAAAACATTCAAGACCACTAAACCCTTTGATGTTCAAGTATTTCAAAGAAGGAGCATTAATCACATAACCTCCCTCCCTCATTACTGCGTTATTCTCTTCTATGGTTAGTCTCTGTAATGAAGGCACCGCAATAGTGAAAGTATCCACCATGTCCATATTGGGATGTCGAAAAACAACCAAATCTTGAAGGGTAGGGCAGCCACATAAAAGGTTGAAAACAGATTCATCGTCTTTGAACTCCACATAGTAAAGGTGCAGCTCTCTAAGAGATTTGAAACAAACCCGAGAAGGAAGGTCTATAATTATATCCTCGAGTATCAAGACCTCGAGTGTATTGCTACAGCTACACAAAACACTCGGAAATTTGACTAACCTTTCTCCCTTATTCCAAAGATCCAGTACAAATTTACGCACATGGTGTGAAAATGCAATCCCAACCCATATTCCAATATCCAAAGCTTCAGTTTTATCTCTAACTACCAAACTAAGACTCTCTAGAACCGGAGCTTTATGTGAAAGCAAAGACCTACAAACAATCTCTGAAAATCTATGGTGCTCACTTTTGTGAATTTTAGAATCAAATTCGAGCTTTGGCACCATCTTCCAAAGAGATCTCCAACGTTTAGACAAAACACTCGTAGCTATGACATTTTCTGTTGGAAGTGAAGATAATATCTCCAGAAGCAAAGCTTCAGGTAATTCGCTGATTCTATCTTCATTTACAGAATTTCGATTTCTCAAGCTTTCACCACCGATTTTGCTGTCGACAAATCAAAATAACAAAATATGAGAATTTTAAGGTTCGAAGAATTAGAGCTGGATCTTACAGCTAAGAGAACCATAAACGAAACAAAGAAGCATACCATCGTTGTTCCATTTTCGTTAATAGAGACAACAAAAGAAAAATCCTTGAGATTATGCCCAGCGAAGGCTCTAAACGCAAACACAAACACAGTCCCAACACATTTCGGCTAAAGCCTAGATATGATAATGGCGGCGATTCAGCTTCAAAACGATTCACTTGTATTTGATTAAAAAAAGGGATCAGCGAGTCACAAAACCCTAACAGAGGAGTAAGAAACACAATGCCACAAGATCTGGAAAAGAAAGAAGACGACGAGGGAAGAGAAGAAGGCCGACAAGTGTGAGACAATCAGACCGCTCGGTTTCGTTGGTTTTAAATCGAACCGAATCCAACATCCTCTGTATATAACTCGGAAGACACTTCAGTGGAATAAAAAAATTGATTTGTTTTTCTTTTTGGGTCCGATAATTTGCGACTACCATAAATTAAGTTAATTTTTGTTTTCATATGGCGAATTGTAATCATACTATCGAGGAAAATGTATAAATTTTTTTGATTAGTTTTGATCTATCTCTATATTATTATTTGAGTAAACATTTATAGAACTAACATTTATTTTGTAAATTATTACATAATATGCTATTATAAATAACAAAAAATAATTAAAATAAGAAAAGATATAATTGTCTTTCAAATCTATTGAAAAAAATATAAAAATTTGTGTTTTTTATTTAATAGAATATATTTATTATTTAATATTAAATTCAAAAATATAATAATTTATTAAATTATCCGTTTTAAATAGTATCATATTTTACATTCAATTAAAAAAAACATGAAATAAAAAATATTTTTTATTTAAATAATATAAGAAATCAAGATTAAAAGCTATGCTATTAAAAATAATGAAAATATGTTTTTACTAGAATTTACTATATTTACTTGATTATATACAAAAATATATTTTTTTAGTTATTTTATCAACAAATTAACATGAAAAAATGAATATACCACATATTTTTCATTAAAAAAACCCATGAATAGAAAATAAACATAGAAATTTTTAATACTATTTTAACTTTCACTTTTAGTTTATAAAATCTAAGTCATGTAATAAATTAATAACAATTTATTAACAATTAAATCAAAAAAATAAAATTTAGAACTATTTTAAATCATATTTTTTATTATACAAAGACGTAATATACTATAAATATGCAACGTTTTAAAAAAAACTTTTAATTTATAAAATCTAATTCATGTAATAAACTAATAATATTTTATTAACAACTAAATTCAAAAAAATAAATTTAATAGCTATTCAAGTCATATTTCCATTCTTCAAAGACGTAATATACTATAAATATGCAATGTTTATAAAAAAAAAACTTTCAAAAAAAGTATCATTTAAAATAAAATAATTACTCCGTGCTTCAGCGCGCAGGTTGATTCCTAGTTTTAATTTTATTTTAAAAACAAATTACAACAAATGTAAACTATGTGAGGTGGTAGCCAGTGGCTTTAACCGTTACCAAGCGGTCAAAAGAGTTGTGGAACAGAAACTTGGTTGGGGCGATCCCAAACCGGACACCGACTTTGGTTTGCCTTTCTTTCGGACCAGTGTGTCACAAATTAACTAAACTTCGTTTATTGCAAGCTCACGTTTTCAATCAGTATATAAAATCAAATTATGCAATCAATCAACTTAGATTGTTTATAAAATCAAAATAATTTCACTTCAATCTAACAAGATTACATTGTTCTTCATTTCATTTAAAAGCCGTTAACTTGTGAAACAATGCAGTGAAATTCTATTACTCTTTCTCTGTCGTGCCCAATGTAAAAGAAAACTTATGTGGTACTGCCACTCTACCAGGACCAGAGTGTCCTGATTTATAAGAATACGTATCAGCTTCGAACACGAGTTGACATGAAATTGAAGCTTTGACCTCACTGGCCAACTCGTTGAGCATCTCACGTCTCTTTTCCAACTTCTTGACCTTTTTAGAATTAATGGGTTTTGTAGAGATTGTTGCTTTCTTCAAGCGTCTTGCGTTCTTTAGGATGTATGTGGCCACTTCTTTCGCATCATCTCGTTGCCATTTGTATCTTGTCCACACGAATGTCTCAAGATGGAACAACAAACATTCCGGTACACAGTTCGGCTGATTCCATTTCCAGTCCACCAAACAATCTTTCTCAATGTAGAACCGCCTTGACTGAGATCAATGTGTAATCTTTAAGATCATCAAAGTTTAACTCAAAGAAGAAAAAAAGCATTTAACTAATGAAATAGCTTACATGGTGGATGAGCTTGAGGGTTTGTAATCGAGGAGAATCATTGAGCATGAGCGAAAGTAGATTCCACCACTCTCTTTGACTTGTACTCAGCTCCAAAGATAAAAGCTGATTGAAGATAATACCACTCGTAGGATACTTAATCTGTGCATGAGGCAGCATTAGTACACAAAACAGTGTTATCCTTATATTCACCATGAGAATCTCAAATTCTTAAATTTACCTCTAAGGGTGATATGCTTAAGGAAAGGCGTTTGGCTGAAATTAGAGATACCAAAATGTTCTCATTGGTTATATCAGAAACGTCAATGATAGCCTCCACCAGCTCTGGCGCATTCTCAATCAGACAGAACTCAATACCTTCAAAACCTTTGAGCTTCAAGTATTTCAAAGACGGAGCATTTATCACATAGCCTCCATCCCCGTCTCCTCGGTAATCATCTTCTATGCTTAGTCTCTGTAATGATGGCACTGCAACAGTGTAAGTCTCCGCATCCACATTGCTATGTCGTTCCACGAACAGATCCTGAAGACTAGAGCAGCCACATAAAAGGTTGGAAACAGATTCTTCGTCTTTGAAGTCCACACGGTAAAGGTGCAGCTCTCTAAGGGATTTGAAACAAACCCGAGAAGGAAGGTCTAGAATTATATCCTCGAGTATCAAGACCTCAAGTGTATTGCTACAGCTACACAAAACACTCGGAAATTTGACTAAATCTCCTCCCTCGTTCCAAAGATCCAGTACCAATTTACGCACATGGCGTGAAAATGCAATCCCAACCCATATTCCAATATCCAAAGCTTCAGTTTCATCTCTAACTACCAAACTAAGACTCTCTAGAACCGGAGCTTTATGTGAAAGCAAAGATCTGCAAACAATCTCTGAAACTGTATGGTGCTCACTTTTGTGATCTTCAAAATTAAATTCTAGCTTTGGCACCATCTTCCAAAGAGATCTCCACCGTTTAGACAAAACACTCGTGGCTATGACAATTTCTGTTGATAGTGAAGATAATATATGCAAAAGCAAATCTTCAGGTAATTCGCTGATTCTATCTTCATTTACAGCATTTCGATTTCTCAGGCTTCCACCACCGATTTTGCTGTCGACAAATCAAATAACAAAATACAGTATGAGAATTTTAGGGTTAGAGCAGGATCTTACAGCTAAGAAAACCATAAACGAAGCAAAGAAACATACCATCGTTGTTCCATTTTCGTTAATAGAGACAAATAAAAAGAAAAATCCTTGAGATTATGCTCAGCGAAGGCTATAAACGCAAAACACAAACACAGCCCCAACACACTAATTCGGCTAAAGCTTAGATATGATAATGGTGGCGATTCAGCTTCAAAACGATTCACTTGTGTTTGATTAGTAAAAAGGATCAGCGAGTCACCAAACCCTAACAAGGACAATGCATATATAGGATCTGGAAAAGAAAGAAGACGACGAGCGAAGAGAGGGAAGAAGGTCGACAAATGTAAGAAGATCAGACCGGTCGGTTTCGTTGGTTTTTAAATCAAACCGAATCAAACATCTTCGACCTGTCTGTGACTCATCCTCTGAACCGGGTCGACACTGCAGTGAAAAAAAACTGATTTATCTTACAACTAGTATTATCTCCCGTGCGTAGCACGGAAATGTTTTTTCATTCAATTTGTTTTTACATAAAAAAAATAAAACGAATTAGCATTCAATCGCAATAAGAAAAAAGAAAGATCAAAGCTTTTGTATCGTCATATATAATATATATTACCATTTGCAATTTGTCTTCAAGTTTGACCCTCAATTTATTTCTCTCCATCTCATGCTAGTTACAGAGTTGGCAACGTTCTTTCTTCTTCTCAGCTTAAACCAATCCAAGCCGTTTCATCTCAGCAGCTACACGCTTCTGATTGATCAAAGCACGAACTTGCTCCTTGTACTTGCTCTCTCTGGCCATCCTCATCATCATCGACTGAGCTGTTATTTCTTTCACGAACGCCTTTTCATATGCGAAGCGTTGAGAATTCTCTCTTTCCATTGGCTTCACGAGACTCCACTTGAGTTCCCTCTCTGACTGAATTTCCACGCTCGTTCTGGCTGCTTGTCTTAACTCATTTAATTTTGCTGGATGCATCTGTGCCTTTGAATGAATCTCCAATCTGCAATTCGAGAAAACAATCAGACAGAGAGAGAAGGATCACTTAAAGACTCTGATTGATTTACCTTTTCCATTCAGCTGCATGGAGCCTTGCCTCGATTTGTCGGATGATTGTGATGGGTCTAGGTTTCGCACGAGCCTTTCTCTAAACGTTGTGATAAAATTACTGCAGATTACAGTTTTTCAAGGAAAAATCTGGTAAGAAAAGTGAATTAGAGAATCAAAGACGTGGTTATTTAAGCCTTTTCTCAAAAAAAAAAAAAAAAGACGTGGTTATTTCAGTGTAAATGACCATATCGGGTAAGAAGAGTGAAGAATCTGTCTTCGGAGATGAGCATGGCGAAGCTTGTTTTCAATATTTTGAATTAGAAGGTACTGTCTACTTCTTACTACAGTCAGGCAAAAGCCTCTCACAAATCCTCCAAGGAACTCTCATTGCCGCTAGAGAAATCTCTGTTGCCATTTCAAGAGCGGTTGCTTTCCCTCAACCTTTCTTCATCGATCAAATCAGTGAACAATCTTAGTCAGAAATCTTATGAACTCAGCAAACAAACAAAAAAGCTGATTTTTATAGATGAAAGTCGAAGAAGAAGAAGATCGAGAGAGAGATAGGCTGAAACCGAATGAAAAACCTTATATAATCGACAAAGCTATTCAGTGAGTATTTGATAGAGGAAGTTGAAACTGTTTCAGAAATCATGACGTAGTGGCTTGAGAAAAATTAGGGAATTTTAGTTATTTTTTTGTTTTATCTAAAAACTTTTAGATTCCCTTTTACGTTTTTGTTTTATGCTAAGGATTACGCTAAATTGAATTTTATTTTGTTGTTCTGCCACATGTCACTATGTAATTGATTATGTGACTTGTGCTTTAGTATAACTAGGTGAGTATCCACGCTATGCGCGGGTTTTTAATTACAATGTTAAATTTTAATGATATTCATTGTTTGTGGAACTATCATTGAATCAAAGATTGGTTACTGTTTAATTAAATGTAAAATCTTTGTCCCTTGATGAGAAGAGAAGTTGAAATTATTGAAAATTAGAAATGTTAGACAGAATTATAATTCTTTATAGAGTGATTAAAATTAATTTCCTCATTCAGTGGTTTCTTTTTTTATAACTTCTAAAGAAAGAGCATATATTATGTAATCAGAATCAAACCAAATAATAAAGATTTCTCCTAAATGATCCAAGTTATTTGCACGATCACGAAGATGCTTGAAAACCCCACATTATTCTATCGCTATATTATTATGACACTTGAGTAGTAAAGACCGGTAAAAATTAAGAATTTAAATGTACGAGAGATGAAGAGGATAAAATTTGCTAATTCATCTCCTCTTGCACATTGATCAAAATGATCGAATTGTAGTCAAAACCATTACAGACAATTTGTTTACGCAAAATATTAGCTGATATGTACATAAATATGCAAAATGCATAAAAGGAACAATAACTAACCTTTTCTAACAATTTTCTAAACGCCTTCAATATCGTTCTTTAAGGAGCTGAATTTAAAACCCATTTAGAAGACCATTAAATTATTTCACATCATTGAATTTGAGGTTTCTGGGACCTTAACCAAAGTAGAAGACCACTGGATTCTTCCATTCCAACTAAAATGAAGTAAACTGGTTTACAAAAAACCTTATAAAGCCTTGACCTTATAAGCCATTACAAGGGTCGTCAATCTAAAGGTTATGGAGTGTTTGTAGGTATAAATGATGACACTACATATATAAGCTTTGCAAGAAAACATGTTCCAAATAAAGAAGAAGCATACCTTTAGGTCATTCTGTATTTCAGACATTTGATATCGTTGGAAATAAAAGTACTGACTTCCTACAATGTTGATTTCCTTTGTTTTTTGAAGTCCCACACTTCTTTGAATGTGTACCAACCACTTAACAGCATTATGCATTTCTTCTCCGTTGTTCTTAACATCTTCAGCTATTCCTCCTCTTCTTTTACCACTTTCTACATCCATTAACAGCTACATCATATCTGCTAACTCACAGAACGGTTTTACCATTATATAGATGTAGTATCAACATTCACATGTTTCTCTTTTTTTATTTAGTTGTACGATGGTGGAGATATAATAGAAAACGAAAGAAGATATAAACTTTTTAAAGTCAAAGTAGTGTCAACCTAAATCCATAACAGTGAAATAAAATATTTATAAAATGGGATAAATACAGTGGGAAAGACATACATTTGCTCTGTCCCTGGTTCCTTAGCGTGGATATTCCTCTAAATCCTACAAATGTCGATACCAATCAATCAATTATGATCAAAGCAAAACATGAATAAACAATTTGTATTAAGAACACAAGAGAATTCAATTGTACAAAAATTTAAACAAAAACTTCTTGGTCCCATTTTTAAATTACTACGGAACAAAATGATTTTAAAAGTTACACATAGTTAGCAAGGGGGATCTTACCAACGTAGTTGATTCCTGAGTTTGCTTCCACTGCCTTTACGTTGCTGACGTTTACCATCGGTTTTTTTACTCGAAGATCAACCTTTAATTATCTTGTTCGAACACCTTCAGGATCGCCAACACTTGTGCCCACTTCTTGTACCTCTGATTCCGTTACCTGTCGAATACATTAAAAACTAACAATTTTAGGATCTAATTCCAGCAATTAGATTGGAGAGATCGTATATATAGAATACGATGGTTTGATGAAACGTTGATTTTGTTTAACCATAAGAATCAAAAATAGACGTTCTCTTCAGCTATAAATCAATGAACCAAGTGGGAGAAGTATTATTGGGAATCTATTATCTATTCCCGTGCAGAAAGGCCAATTTATTTCAAAGTGCAATGCACATATGATTGCTGAGTATAGTGTAGATACATCATACATCACACATAAGTGAATAACTCTTGAATCAAAGCTTGTTCCCTAGAGACTACCAAACGCAAATTTAACAAAATGAGTAAATACCAATTAGTTGATTTCCGATTATCACAAACTCAATATATTTTCAGGATAGCCGAAAACAAATCGACGTGAACATTCAATGGAAAATTAAGAGAAGAAACACTTACATAATCGAAGGAAGTCATACTTACTGATGGCGCATGGGCTTCAGTTTCTGGGGAATCGAATTTCAGATGGAGTTTCTTTGACATCTCTTCACTCGAATACTCTTATTTTGTTTGCTCTTCCGCTAGATTGAAGTGACAAGAGGAAGCTTTAAAGTTTTTTAGTTTAGCAAAATGAAGCATCATTTAGTTTTTAATTTTGTAAAGTTGAGGAAAATAAATATAAACACGTGTCAACTTCTCCAATGCTGATGTGTCAAGCATATGGAGAAAGTCTTTCTCTTTTATATATAAGATAAGGACTAGTATTATCCCGTACTATACACGGGAATATTTTTGTTAACGTAAAAAAACAAACTTTAGTTACATATTAAGAAATCGTAATCAAAGAAGGAAAAATAGAAAACCTAGTACCCCATAAACTTCTCTGCGTGCTATCTTTCCTCCTCACTCGATTCCTTAAAAATCTGGTAAAATTATAAAACCAAGATGAGAATGCTTATTATATAGAGCTATTTTATATTAGTTACCTTTGGGAATAATTTCATTGACGAATTTGATTGTTTGAGTACCTATTTTTTTCTGGATTCCCACAACAGCACCGGTTTTGTCATCTTCAACACTTCATGTTCCTCTCGCTCCTACAATATAACCATACATAAATCAATTTTTCTTACCAAAAACTTAAAACATTGAAATTATAGAGAAAAGGTAGAAACCTCTCTGCTGTTTTCAATCCATCGCTGCTGTAAATTCTATTCTACAATAGCAAAACACTTAAACAATTTGATACTTTCGGAAGTGAATTAATGAAAGCGTTTTACCTTTTAACAGAAGCCCTTCTTGCAATTCTATTGCGATCTGCATTTGCGTTCTCTCTTACATGAATTGAAATGTCTTCTTAAGGATCATATCTCCAATAACACACTGCAAATCACTTGTCCTATATCTGCGCCAGCGTGAAGGTAGAAATTTGAGATGAAATCAGAATCTTTAGATGTCTCCGAGAAACTTAAGTAATCACTAATCTTCCACACTAAATCACTGCACAGAGTTATGTTTCGGATCAATTGAGAGTATCTTTAATATAGAAATATGGGAAAGAAAGATCGTGGATGATGAAAAAGGATCGTCAGTCGAGAAACCGTTATTTTTTTTGCATGATCTCGTTTTTTTTTTAATTTTAAAAATATATAAACACAAATTATGTGGCAGAATTTAATTGGCCAAGTGACTTGTGCTTTAGTAATATAAGGATTCCCACAACAGCACCGGTTTTGTCATCTTCAACACTTCATGTTCCTCTCGCTCCTACAATATAACCATACATAAATCAATTTTTTTACCAAAAACTTAAAACATTGAAATTATAGAGAAAAGGTAGAAACCTCTCTGCTGTTTTCAATCCATCGCTGCTGTAAATTCTATTCTACAATAGCAAAACACTTAAACAATTTGATCCTTTCGGAAGTGAATTAATGGAAGCGTTTTTACCTTTTAACAGAAGCCCTTCTTGCAATTCTATTGCGATCTGCATTTGCGTTCTCTCTTACATGAATTGAAATGTCTTCTTAAGGATCAGATCTCCAATAACACACTGCAAATCACTTGTCCTATATCTGCGCCAGCGTGAAGGTAGAAATTTGAGATGAAATCAGAATCCTTAGATGTCTCCGAGAAACTTAAGTAATCACTAATCTTCCACACTAAATCACTGCACAGAGTTATGTTTCGGATCATTGAGAGTATCTTTAATATAGAAATATGGGAAAGAAAGATCGTGGATGATGAAAAAGGATCGTCAGTCGAGAAACCGTTATTTTTTTTGCATGATCTCGTTTTTTTTAATTTTAAAAATATATAAACACAAATTATGTGGCAGAATTAATTGGCCAGGTGACTTGTGCCTTAGTAATATAAAGATTCCCACAACATCACCGGTTTTGTCATCTTCAACACTTCATGTTCCTCTCGCTCCCTACAATATAACCATACATAAATCAATTTTTCTTACCAAAAACTTAAAACATTGAAATTATAGAGAAAAGGTAGAAACCTCTCTGCTGTTTTCAATCCATCGCTGCTGTAAATTCTATTCTACAATAGCAAAACACTTAAACAATTTGATCCTTTCGGAAGTGAATTAATGGAAGCGTTTTTACCTTTTAACAGAAGCCCTTCTTGCAATTCTATTGCGATCTGCATTTGCGTTCTCTCTTACATGAATTGAAATGTCTTCTTAAGGATCAGATCTCCAATAACACACTGTAAATCACTTGTCCTATATCTGCGCCAGCGTGAAGGTAGAAATTTGAGATGAAATCAGAATCCTTAGATGTCTCCGAGAAACTTAAGTAATCACTAATCTTCCACACTAAATCACTGCACTGAGTTATGTTTCGGATCAATTGAGAGTATCTTTAATATAGAAATATGGGAAAGAAAGATCGTGGATGATAAAAAAGGATCGTCAGTCGAGAAACCGTTATTTTTTTTGCATGATCTCGTTTTTTTTTTTAATTTTAAAAATATATAAACACAAATTATGTGGCAGAATTTAATTGACCAGGTGACTTGTGCTTTAGTAATATAAGGATTTTTGTCCATAATTGCAACATTTTTTTTTTTTTTTAACAACATAATTCCAACTTCCATTAAACGTAAAACTAAATCCTATATTATACAAGAGTCTAAACCATCGACATACACAGTTTTCTTATTGGTTTAGTGGATCTAAGCTAATTCCAATAGCAAACGACAAGAAGCTTTTCGTAAGCTGCTTGTGTTTTTTTGGGATTAGAAGTTACTGCCAAAGCTTTTTCATAAGCACTCAGATCATCGGGAGTGAGACAAGGGAGTGACAGCAACACCTGTCGTGGAAATGGGTGTCTCTGGGAAAGATAAACAAATATCTCATGGCACATACCTACTAAGACAGAACTGTTGTTCACATTTTCATCTTTGGCCAAGCTCATGATGAGTGCATAGAACAAATCTTTCGAAACAAACTCTTGGAGCTCTCCGTTGTTTGTCATTATATGGCTAGATGAATAAGGCTAATACAGAAGAAACGGAGACTAGTGATTGTAATACCATCTGTCCAGGTGCAGGCAACGTAATTAGCATCAATGGATGTGTAGAACGTGTCTCCAATGGCTACAGAGAGTTGCAATACACGGTATCCACTATCACGTTATAGCTTTCAGCCAATTTTGAATATCAGATGCGTTTCCTTTACTAGAATAAGTAAATAAGGCCTTTGCTGGTTCACGGCTCCGGAATCCTTGGAGGCTCTGTAACTCGACTTCCGATATCTTCATTGCTGCTTTGAATTTTGTGGGTAAAGTTTGATTTACAGCAGGAGACGACAGAGAATTTGATAACACGAAACAGTTTTAAGAGCGGTGGTAATATCCAAGAAAGGTGACAAAGACAGAGGATGACTCGTCTCAGAGATATTGTTCAGCTTCCTTTTTTTGAAATTGCATCCGTTAAGAGCGTTCTCAAAGAGCATGACTGTGTTGACAATAGACCGCATAACGGTCGGGTTGGAGCATAAACGAACAAAACCAGAGGGACTAGACAGATAGTCATTTTGCCACTCTGGTTGAGTCAACTGTTGCCGCACTGGTTCTAGTAACAAAGCAAAACTATCTTGCTGCGCTTGAGCTCCTGACGCAGAAGTCATAGCAAAGAATGCTTCCACAAGACTACTCTGCTCACCAGGGAGCAAAGTTCCTTCTCTTTGCAAACGTGTCATTGTATCAGCTAAACCCTTCAAGTGAGGAATAGAGCTTCTGTCAGCAGCTTTGGCTACACGCATCAAAGATGAACAGATGTTTAATCTTGCAAGTTTAAATTGAAGACTAACTGGTGGAAGAGAGGTAAGAAGTGCAAACATCTTGTTGATAACATTTCCAACCGCATCTGGAAAATACTTGAGGAAAGGAACCATTGCGTTTAGATAGTCCCCGTGCGCTTGAATAAGTATTTATATATAGAAGCTCCTGAAGCAAGTCCTTGAATATCACGTGAAGTTGAGAATGAACTTCAGAACTACCACCAGCGAACTCATTTGATCCACAGAAAAGTCTTCGCAGAATACTTTCCAAAAGCAATACTCTGGCTCTTCATAGCAGCTGCATACTGACAAGGAGTTGAAGGACCCGATATATTCTCAATGAGCATGATCGTTCTGGAGGATATTTTTGTACTGGCAATGATGGGCTTGTGAGAAGAGATGAGTTTGACCAAACCAAAGAGCCTCTGCTGGTACTTGCAAAACTCATCTTTATCATCATATTTTGATGGCTCAAGATAGGTTTTGTTTCAGGAAGGACTTCCTCCTTATTCGACTGTTGGAATGAAACATCCAGAATTGTGCTGGCGATATCATCATCTATAAGGCGTAAAAGCTCCCTTTTTCCGCCATCTTGGTGCAAAGAACTATTGACGATCTCGGTGGCTGATCCCTTTCCACTTGGCGTAGGAGCCTTAGGTTCTGAGATTAAACTCCATT